AGCAGTACATCCGCTGATGAGTCATCTCGGATATCCAACCAATCTAGATCTAAAGTATCATCTAGATCCATTTTATCCAAATCAATACTAGTTTCATTAATGTCAATATCACCAAACATTTGTGAAAAAATATTTAAGATACCACATGCATGCTCACTTCGCCAAATTTCAACACAGTTCATAATGTCATGTATAGAAAACAGTTTACTTGCATTCTTGATGACCTGGGCAATCTGAAGAGAACCAAATTCTACAAAGACATTTGGATACAACACTTGCTTTGGGGCTTCTCTTTGCAAAGCATTTTGATACTGGTACAGATTTGATTCCAGTGTTTTTTTCTGTTCATTTGTAACAGTTCTATGCTTATCGTACTGGTATAAATTCTCATGACTGGAGAAATCTAGCAACATATTAATGGAGCAATCACCCTTTAAACCAGAGCACAAGCAGGTCTGAGCACAAACATTGCAGCACTGACATCCTTCAACAACAATTTCATGATCACCAGGGAAGTGCTTTAAAATCGCTCTTCGAAGGCACTTTTGTTCGCTGATCAATTCCTTCATGTCATCAGAGCAACGAGATGCCAAAATGCCATTGTAGAGTAGAACACACAAACTCTGTCCACCATCCCTGCCAACACGTCCACATTCTTGCATATAGCATTCAGTTGTTCGAGATGGCCCAAAATGAATCACCTTGCGAGCACATTTCAAATCTATTCCCATACCAAATGCAATGGTGCAAATCAGCACTCTTACATGACCATCTGGTAGTGACAAAGATTTTAAATATGTTGCTTTGATGACTCAGGTGTTCCAGCATGGTACATTTCCACAATGCAGTCTCTTGGTAATAGAGTTTCACCAGCATACATGTCTTTGCCAAGTGCCAACTTGAATGTTCTCCATATGATGGCAGCTTGCTTTCTTGTTTGACAGTAAATAAAAGTCTTTGCACATTTGTCTTTTTTATCCTTCACATTCAATATAACATCATGAAAGACATCGCAAAGTTCCATGTCATTTTCAACATACTGAGTAACATAAGCAATGTTTGGTCGCTCTGGACTTTTTTCAATGCTAAATGTGTTTTCCATTTTGAGATCCAAAACCTCAAAGATCTTGCTCTTGGTAGCTTTGGTTGCTGTGGCAGTACAAACAATCAGATTGATATCTGTGAACATGGATCTGAGCTTTCCAAGATTGCCATACCAAGTTCTGAAAGCGCCCTTTGCTCCTGCCAATCCCCTACAAACACAAATTGATAAAAATTAGAAATATACAAATTGACTTTACAGAAAGATTTATCAATATTAATATAAAGAAATATATATCTTACCATTGACTGATGCAGTGAGCTTCATCAATAGCAATTCCAACACAATTTTCCACAAAGCTTTCCGATTTTAAAATTTTTTCCCATCTTTTTGAGGCCAACATGGATTCAGGCGACGTAAAAACGAGCGAATATATGCCATCCTCAATATCATTTAAAATAGCCTCATCTTGTCCTTGAAATACAGCAGCTGCGCTGATTCCTAACTCCCTTATTTTGCTAACTTGGTCGAGCATTAATGAAGTCAGAGGACATACTACAATCACGGTGCTAGTGCCAATAACTTGATCAAGTAGGATATCGGTAAATAAAGGTATGGATTGGAACACGATGGACTTTCCATACCCAGTACTGGCACAAAAGAAAACGTTATTTCCTTTGAAGAAAGCCTTAATAGCGTTGAGTTGATCTTCGAAAAGATTTTCCACTTGAAAAAATAACAAACTTGTCGTAAAGCATCCTGAAAACATTCTCCTTCTAACTTCGCCTCCTCGACAAACGCCATGTTTTACATGTATTATGTCTTGCTCGCGCTAATTTGGGATAATTAACATTATATTGCATAAATTAACAACTAACCAATCACATTCGATTCCCACTATTTTGGGAACATGCACGTGACTGAACAAGCTTGATCCCTCCATTACGCAGACACTTAAACCCTTTCATTATGAAATACGAAGCGTCTGCACCGCAGGCTAGTAAAATGCCTACAAATTGAAAATCAAGTTTTAAATGTCTACTTTCAACATTATTTCCAGACATTTTTCAATGTGTTAGAATACTATAAGAAAAACTATATTACTACATAGCTGCTGATTTACAGTTACTTCTAATTATGTTACAGAACTAATTTTAGCATTTTAGTATTTTACTCTGTCTTAAAGTCGCAGTGTCACCAATTTTTGACCAAAAATGTACTTTATTCAAATCTGAACTGCAAATTTGAAAATAAACATTGTAAATACTGTAGGTTTAGTTATGATATACAAAACTAAGTCTTATACATATTGACCTAAACTTGAAAAAGTGTCTGCCAACAATTAACAACATATCATTTACAATCCATCTCAATCCTCGCCCAATATCCAGGCCTTAAAATGTCTTTTACAGGACCGTCTGACAAAATGTCCGATGACATTGAGTTTGGGTTGGACATATGTCTGATGACCTTCAGTTCACTTTTGACTCGGAAATACATAGAGACGGATTTTCATATTTTCGTTCAGGGGGGTAGATAAATATCTGGGGGGTGCTGCTGCTTGCTTTGGCCGGGGCATGGTGGCAACGCCCGGAAAGGCCAAGGAAAAAGTTTAACAAAATTTGTTTTCTGGGCCTGCATGGCAAGATCTGAGACCATAATATTGGTAATTTTACAAATTTATAGTAGTAAGAATAATCAAATATAAAACTATCAAATCAAAATATAATTTGCGGGGGTGCCAAATGCCTTTGGGGGGGGGGGGCAAATCATTTCTGGGGGGTGCGCCCCCACACCCACACCCCAGAAAATCCGTGCCTGGAAATACATCTGAATGACACAAATGAATATCAGCACAATGTATTAAATAATTTTGAACGGCAAATGTTGTGAAGATATTAAAAAATTTGTTTCTTTCATACTTATTTCCAAGCCAAAATTAACTTGCTTTCCAGAACAGCAGTATTAAAAAGACTTTGACAACTTCAGCTCGTTTTCCACTTCACCATTTCGCTCACCGCCCCGCCCTCAACTATGTTAAAACATTTCCAGTTCACTTTTTATACAATAGTACTCTGATTTTCCATTTAACATACAGGCGTCTAGTCCTGGGCTATAGGTACATTTTGATTTACAATGGACAAAGCTACAGTTAGGTCAGACACAAATACACTTAGGTCGGACAAACAATAACCTCAGTTTCAGTTAGGTCAGACAAAATGTCCGGCGGTTTCCTCTCTACATCAAACAATTTCATGAATGGGTCGGACAATGTATGTGACCAACCGATATTTTAAGGCCTGCAATCTCAATCATCTGAGATGCAAACAAAGTCTTGAAAATTACCCCTAACCTGTACATGGCAGTACCCTATTATATATACATGAACTTGTGGTTAGTGCTCAACAACTGGCCTCTGTAGCTCAGCCTGTTGGGGTGCTGCACCGGAGTCGCTGGGCCACAGGTGCGATAAAAATTTCCAGATTTTTGGTCTTATTTAGTTCAAAATCCTTGTCTTTAGGGGGTTGCCAATTTCTCTAGGTTGGATAGAAAAACTTTGGCGGGGTGCTGCAAAATATTTTTGGGTGGTGCACACCCCCCCCCCCAGAAAATCTGTCTATGGTCAAAATCGATGACACTCCCATGACAGACAATGCCCCTTTAAATGCCAGAGCAGTAAATCCCTACCTTTATCGCTATCATCAGCATCTCCTTCCAATATAAGTGAATCTATAATAGGAGTTTAAAACTGTTTGTATAGTTCAGTGTAGAGATGGGCGGTACCAGCTTTTTTTGTTTGGTCCAATACCAGTCCGTCATTCCGAAACCAAGAATTTTAGTCGATACAAAAATTGACACAAATACTTCAATTTATGTATTACTAGTAAATTTTGTTTGCATAAATTAAAATGCATTTATCCATAATTCATGACATTCTCTGTCTATTCTTTTGCAAAATAAAACACGAATATATTGGCCACAAGTTGCCTTTCAATTATAATTTTATGTTTCAGATTTTTTGAAAAGAAAAAAGCTTTCAAACTTCAAAACAGGAGCTCACAAACTCTGCATCACTATTACTGTATTAATAGCAAAGTAGCAAACAAACCTTTCAATGAGTTGGCATATGTTTCAATTTGTTTCTCATTTATTTCATTATAAGCTTCAGCAAATCCACTGAATGACACCCAACAATGGTTACTATATAAAATAAAGCAAAATAATTTAACTTAAAAGTTATTCGTTTATAAGTACTTCAAAATATTCAAAAGGTTTTAAAATTTATTAATATCTCTGACTTCACTATATCAATTGGTAAGTTTTTTGATAAATTTCCAGATCTAATGTAAATTATTTAATAAATATATTAGATTCCCAAATATTATTTCACAGAACGTGAATCCTACCTGAGAGATGGCATCCACTGATATAAATTGCGATGGAAATATGTAACATTGCTGTCGACCTCTATCAAATCCAAATCGAAATTGAGAGGATAAAAGCAAGTGCCAGACCTGTCGGTGTAGTTGCATACTCCAAAATGTATTGAGCAATTCCTGCATTCCAGGGTAAACTTCGAGCATGCAACAGGACCATTTAACGTAAATAGCACGGCTCTGGACGGATTGTTGCGCATAGACAAGCGCTTGTCGCATCGTATACAAACAGAAACCGGTGGAGTGAGATACTTGTCCAACAAGCTGTCTTGGTTTGAAAGATCTGTATCAACGGACATAAACAATGGACAGCGAGTTTCAAGTATCTTGCCGTACGTTTCAAGTTCTTCCACAGTCGGATGTATGAACGTGCCCGTTGCTGTTGATTGGAGGCTAGTAAAAACTTTGAATATGATGGCTGACCGCATTGGTGTTTTATCAACGACACAAGTGATGTTTGTAGGAACATGCTGCAGTGCCTTGCGCAGATAATTCAACGTTTGAATGGAAATTTTGCTCGTCAGAATAGCAATAATATCATGTTCGCCAAGGTCATACTCATTCGAAATTAAATCATTTACATCAACTTCGCGAAGGCCTCTCAACAATTCACGAACGCGATCGGTCCGGGACGCTTTCGCTTGTATGCTCGCTTTTATGTTATCTAAGTCGAACAGGCTTGACGGTCTTTTCTTCTTACTTTTGTGTGACATATTTATAACACTTTAAACGGTAGTGCGTATACAAGTTCACGAAGGTCTCTCAACAATTCACGAACGCCATAGGTCCGCTCAAACGCTCGCTTTTATGTTAATATATAATATCTTTTATGTTAATATTTAAGTTGAAGTTATCAAAGACGAAGACGCAGGACACTTTCCTTTCGCTTGTGCTTGAACGCTCGCTTTTATGTTAAATGGCATAGGACTCTAGTGAGTAGTGAGTGTCAAATTGCTACTTGTTACGATAGCACGGTGGAACGGAAAGCATAACAATAGCACGCGTAATATTACAATTTTGATGAAAACCCTCCGCTTATTTTAGGCATCATTTGGTAGTTTCAGTAACAATTTACATGCTTTTTTCATAAATATGGTAGCAGAAAAGCTTTGGAATATAAAAAGTTGTAAGCCAGGCGTTTTGGCCCGCTTTGACAATTTCAGTTGCTTCTGACAACGACAGGTTCATGTTCAGATCCGACTCAAAAACACATAAAAATGAATCTGCTTTGATTTTGACAAAAATGTAATAAGTTCCCTAAATATAGTGTTCTTAATCGTCATAGTGTTCCTACATAGTGTTCCATATTTTCCTACATTGTTTTAAAATGTCTCTATTAATACCTATTTGGTTGTTTAACCAATCGTTCCGAACGTGTACGATAACCCTCTGCACCATCATTGCTCGCTTGCTGATGTTCTGGGCTTCTTGACTGCTGTTCATGTTCCGTAATTTCGGGTTGCTTCAACTGTACGTTCGTTCCCGAATCTGTGTGTAGAATAGACTGATCATGCGATGCGTCTCTATGTAAATGCCTTCGATTGCGGCGATATACAGCCCCTTCTGGAGTCTCGACTAAGTAACTTCGAGGCGTATCTGCTATTTCGATCACTTTCCCGGGTCTCCATTCACA